CAGGTGGCAGGGGCACAGGTGGCAGGGGCACAGGTGGCAGGGGCACAGGTGGCAGGGGCAGAAGACACCCCACTCCTCCTGTCAACTTGTGTCTGAGACTGCAGGACCCCACCTGCACCAATGCCGTGAAGACCAAATGTAGGAAGGGGTAAATACCTCACATGTGGTGGGTGCTTGACATGTGCTCACACGATCCCACACCACCTCCAACTGCAGCCTGCCTGGATGTCTGCTGAGCTTTGTGAGATGTGGCCATGTGTGCCAATGACGCCCTGGCTCCATTCACCTCTCAGGTCCCTGGCAGGCAGGACTCCCCAGGCCCTTCCTCCCGAGAGCCCACCCTGATGACAGTAGTATCTGAGCCAATGTCCTGCTTCTGCTGCCTGCTGACCTGCTCAGCCCCCGCCAGTGCTCACCTACAGGCCGCCCTCAGGCTAGAGCCCCTGACTCTAGATTCCCCTCACATCCTACGCCACCTCTGCAATGCCCGCGTCCCTCGGCACAGCTGTCAAAATCAGCATCTACGCCCTCTTCTAATTCCTTAAGTGCCAATGGTAGCTCAACCTTTACCCGTGCTAGCATAGGAGAGGCCGGCATTCATCCGGGAACAGCCTGCTGCTTCAGGGACAGCAAATTGTCACCCACTTTGTTCAGAAAGCGAGTGCTCCCAATGATAGGATCAAGAATACCAGACAGTAAATACCTTAGCTTTACAGGGGTGGCAGCTCCATCACAACCACCCCACGCACTAAGGTCACAATGCAGCATGGGAAGGCTGTGGAGGCTTCTGGTGACTTCTCAGAAGCAGGCAGTGAGCTGGGTTTAGCCTATCTCTACCCTAGGGTAGAATTTATTCACACGTGGTGCTGAGTCTGATACTTGATTGATGTAAAGAGCCACAAGGAAGGACCCTGTATTTGACCCTGAGACCTTATCCCTAGTCGATTGATGCCACCCCTCAATCTATCTGATCTCTGGGGACACAAAATCTCAACCTGTGCCTCAGGACACTGAGAGTCAGTGAGTCCCTTATTGCATCTACAGGGGCTGAATGGTGGCCACTTTCAGCCTGGAGGATGTGGGGGGACATCAGGCAGATGACTTAAACTGCAGATTTGGAGACAAGCTCCTTAGTTATCCTGGGGACACTGACATCCTCAGACGAGACAGAAGATGAAGCATGAGAAAGGTCAGCTGGTCACAGGCAGGAGGTGGGGCCGTAAGGTCTAAGTCAAGGACATCCAGAGTCACAAGGAGCAAAACAAGGCAGCGAGCATCTGGCCTTTCCATGGCTTAATCTCGCTCTTCTGCCCTTAGACCTGCAAAGGGATGACCACCTGATGCTGGACGCTGGTTTGTGGTGCTCGGGTTTCCAAGCTGCAGTTTCAGGCTTCAGGACAGTGTCTGCATTTCAGCAGAAATAGGACAGGGTGGCGTTCAAAGCTGCAGGAAGGGCTCCTAAACTGGCTGCAGAAGTCACAGCTACCACCAGAGTCTGCAGCCTCTGGCAGTGGTTCCATGGGCTTGTGCACGGGGGCAACTGGATGGAGAGCTGAGAAGGGCTCCCTCGAGGCAGGCCTGAGTCACTTCAATGCTCCAGATGCCCCACCCCTACCCTACTCTGCCTCTTCTGTCACCCTGTCCCATCTCCTATGAACCTGGACCAGTGGGGACACTGGAACATACAAGCCAACAGCTAACTATCAGCACAGTCCTATGTGAAGAACAGGCAGCATGATGGTGGGCAGGGTCCTCCTGAGTGTGTGTGTGTGTATGTGTGTGTGTGTGTGTGTGTGTGTGTGTGTGTGTGTGTGTAAAACCTTCCAGGATGAGCAAATAAATGAAACCTTAAGAGCCCAGCTTAGTAGCTCCACAGGAAACAGGACAAACGCCCAGACGTCTCTAGAGAGACTTGAAGGGCCAGGAGGATAAGAAGACCAAGTCACAGGCAGGTGAGCCAGGAAGGTGTGCCCAGAAGCAGCTCTAAGAGTACTGAGCACAGAAGGTTGGCCCAGCCTTGGCTACTGTATAGAGAACAGACTCAAAATAGTGACAGCACAGCTTCCAACACTCCTGTCCCATTAAGGGACACCTTGGGTCTGGGCCTGGGAGCATAGGAAGAAGCAACCTCGGTACCAGCTCCCTGAACCTGCCCCAGTCCTCCAGGCAGGAGCCACAGGACTGTCTCTGGGTTGACAGCACAGTGAAGACCAGCGGAGCTCCTGAGATGCCGTGGCAAGAGGATGCCTGGGGAGGGCTTTCAGGGATATGATTGGGACCAGGGTCTTTCCTAGACGGAAGAGGCTAAGAAGCCCATTGGATGTGGAATGGCCATGTGGGCAGGCAGCTGGAAGGCGTCTAAAGATGTAAAAATAACCATGGAGTTGTCATGAGCTCACAGAGGCCTTCACAGCCAGAGCCCAGGGCCATGCAAAGGGCAGGAGGGACAGGCAGAGATGAAGCTCTGTGTGGAGGAACACGCCACCGGGAAGACTGAGTGACCAGGCCTGGAGGCTACAGGACACAGGGAGGGTGGAGCTGGGAGGCAGTAGAGTGGAGTGGCCGTGGCTGTGGGGTGGATCTAGCCCTGGAGGTCACAGTGACCTTGGGGCAGCACCCCAGAAGTGCTGTGGATAGGAGCAAGCAGCAATTTGGGATCACCATGAGCCTGGGGATGCTTGGGGACCAGATGTGAGGCCCCAGGCCTGAAGTTTATCTTAGGAAAGATTCCGTATCCCCTGTGCCTCATGGGTGAGGGAGTCTCACAGACATGGGCGTCCCCAAGAGTGTGTACAGCACGGAGCAGCCAGGGCTCAGGGCTGAGGCCCAGCCCCACCTTCTGTCCTCCCAGTCACCCTCCAGGCAGCTGTGGGAGTGGCCAG